AACAAGAGTTTCATCAATCGATTCTGAATTAATGTTAAATTCAAGTTGAAATCTTGTTTGTCCTTCGAAATCATCATTCACATCTTTATTGCTTAAGAGTGAATTATAGATATGATCCGTAATATTTAAGAGATCAACAACGTTTTCCTTTTCCATCATACAATTGTCGATTTCTTGCCTTTTTCGTTTTTTTGCTTGTGATTTACTATTACAGCAAGTTTTGCAACCAGAATAAACGTCTTTATCACCAAGAAAGTCTACAAGTGGTCTGTCACAATTGCATCTTGTACATTTTTTTGTTTCGACTAAAGCGCTATTAATTGTTTTTTCCATTGCGCAAGTAAATGTTAAGAAAGAAAAAAATTTGTACGATAGCATAAATAAAGACAATTAGTAATTAGCTCAAAACTTTATGGTTGACTTACGATCATGATTGAAATCATGATACGCAACAATCCGGATCAGAACATCACGTGACTGCCCCCTCGATTTTTGGTTATGCTGGTGCTTTTGAAGGGGTGCAATATATTGCACGTACAATAAAATTTTAAACTCATACAAAAATATAATTAATTTCGATTTTTAGCATTTAAATTAATTTAAGTTTACAATACTACCTGTCATATACTCTAGCTATAAATTACGTAAATGTCCAAGTTACATAATTAATTTTTGATCATTTTCATAAAGAGAACTTCTTCCTGCGTTGATAATACAAAGTATAATTAAATTACACCGTATAAGGGAAATTTACTTTGTATTCACAAGCAGGAAGAAGCTCTCCTTACGCAAACCAGGGTTAAATTTACGCACTAAATAATGTATGGCAGCTGTTTAAAATAAAAAAAGACCTCCGCTATAGCGAAAAGTATAAAGGTGGCTACTTTCATCGACTTCAAAGTTCATATCAATAGTGAGAAAAAAAAACATAACCATATTAAACAAAAAAATGGGATTAAGTCACTCTTCAACTTATCATTCTTCTCATATAAGGAGTGTGACGGAATCTGGTCCGGTTATTGTCAAACCACATTCAGAAATATACCCGCGTTTGCCAATTGAAGATTTCATGGGCTGTGACAATGAAACATACAGCCCACAATTCGAATTGTTTGTTCAAAGTTGTCAAGCGATGTATGATCGTCACCACACCGATATGCGATCGTATTACCAGGTGGCTGGAATCCATTCACTACCTTGGACACCTTATGATGGAGTTACTGGTGGTATTCATGAATATAAAAATGAGACCGATTGGGTAACAGGTCGTTGGGGTGGATATTGTCATCATGCAGATGTCTTGTTTGGACCATGGCACCGACCTTATATACTATTAATGGAATCGTTATTAATTAATGAAGCAAAGAAAATTGCTTTACAATACCCTGATAACGAAAGAGAAAAGTACGTTGAAGCAGCAAATCAATTTCGCTTTCCCTATTGGGATTGGGCTGATGAAAAGGCAATAAATGGCCTGCCGGATGTATTCATAGTAGCTGAACTCGAAATAAGAACACCAAAAGGCAAGAAAAAAGTCAAAAATCCGTTAAAAAGTTATACATTACCTGTAGATCTTTCATTTCCCCTTGGAAAAGGTTATAACCCAACTGATAAACCTCATTATAAAATACCAACTATAAATTATAATCCATTTACACCCGCCGGTTATTCTACTGTGAGATATCCTAACGCTAACTATGAAGATCAATATGATATGATGAATCGAAATATCTCTATGTTTGTTTCTACGTTACTTAGACCAATAGTTTATCAAATATTACAGATTAATAATTACCTACAAATTAGCAATTATGCTTTAAGATCAGACGGTACAGAAATGGAAGGTTTTTGGCCAGCTCATCCGGTTTCTTTAGTAATAGTTGGATCTTCACATTATGCATCTATTGAAGTACCCCATTTTATCGTTCATTTAGCAATCGGTGGTCCTGGTGGTCATTTTACATATGCAGATATAAATGGATTTGATCCAATATTCTTTTTTCATCATACCGCCGTAGATCGTTTACTTGCACTTTGGCAAGCAATGTTAGTATTTTAAATAATTTTTTATTTATATTGTAAATAACAAGAAGATTAATATATATAATATATAAACTTATAGACATCCTGATAGTTGGGTTACGGAAAATGTTAGTATTAACGGAACTTATACAGAAGAACTATACACAGTGGTAAATGAATATACAGACCTAACACCATTCCGTAAATCAAAAACAGAATTTTGGAAATCTTCAACTGTTCGAGATATAGAAAAACTTGGATATACTTATCCTGAATTGGTGAAATTTAAAGGTCAAGATCCAAGAGAATTACAAGCATATCTTCTTAAATTCTATAAACCTGATCCTCATTATGCACGCAGATTTTTCGCAAAATTAATTATAGAAGCAGGTAAATTAGTTGGACCGTACGTTATTAGAGTCTTCGTTGACATGAAAGGCGCATCTGTCGAAACACCAATAACTTCGCCTCATTTTGCTGGCTTAGTTGCCATGTGGCATAGACCTAACCCTTACCAAATTAATGGTACTACTTATGTCATAGGAAGTGTTGATATTACAGCAGCTATGGAACGATTGGGAATACGAATGGAAACAATAAATTCAAGGTCATTTGTTGATGTCAATCCTACTACTGGCTTGTTAAATTCAAATGCAATTTTTGATGTTAATAATGATATCAACGTAGTTCCTTGTTATCTGAACGGAACAGGAGTTAGTCCGAAGGAAGCTGGTGTTAATAAGGTTGAAGTTTATTCATTCATACATGATAAAGTGGACCCAGATTTCTTGGTCGAAGATAGTGGTCAGCATCATTACACTAATATATTTTAAATCTTTATCAATGACATTCAATTCTTTATTTTACAATTATTAATTTTTATCAATAAAACTCAATTCTTTATTTTACAATTATTACTATATGGACCACCATTTGGGCAAAAAAGTTACACGAAATTTTACGGGTAGCTTATTTTTGAAATAGAGTTTTTTATAAAAATTAAATATCTTCATAGATATTTGTCCAAATTGTGTAAAACTTTCAAAGTATATGCAATTTGATGAGCTGAACAAATTCTTTTAAGAATCTGAAGCCGTTTAATTAGTTAAATTTTGAGTTTTATATGTAAAAATTATTTGCAAATGTTGTTTTTTGTAAAAATACTGGGAGTAGTTTATTTTAGTAGTAGCCTATTTTTGGCAACATATGGTAACTCTATTAATATTATTTAATGCATGTTTTAATTACTTGGTACTAGGGTTGTAAATTTACAGCAAATTTTAATTTTTTTATATAAGGTAAGTTATAAGTATATAATTTACATATAAGTATGTAAGTTAAATAATATAATTATACTGTATAATTTAACTATAATTTTTGTTAAATAATAATTCTCTAGTGTTAAATAGTTTATAAATAAAGTTAATTGGCAATCTGCAAGATATCTAGATAAAAATTTTTTTATACAGTACTAGACAGCATGAGATATCCACTTATTATATATAAAAATTTTAAATTGTAATAACTTTTTAAAATGGATTAAATCAAAAAATTCTCTGACAGATTTATAGATTTTTAGCTAAACTATATTCCTATTAGAGGATTTTTTATTATTTTTTGCTTTAAAGAAGTTATTAAGAGTTAAAGTTTATAATAATTTAAAAAATATAAAAAAAGAAAAATATATGTTTTATTAACCAATCAAAATTAATTATACAAAAATTGGTCAATCAAAATTGATTATATAAGCATCAAAATTAGCATTATATATGTATAGATTAGATGTCTCATGCTGTTCAATACTGTATAGAAATTTTACTATAAGCCCAAAAGTGCAGCCTCTATCTAAAACATTTTTACTAAGTAAATCACTCTTGGTTTCTAACAAATGTTATAAAGTTTATTATAATGCATTTAATAGTAAAAGAATATTAAATTAGCTTGGTGGTTTTTGAAAAATCTTTGAAAAACCTTTTGTTATATATAAAATTTCTTTAAAAAAATTAATTTTTTTTTAAAGAAATTTATATATTGATAAGGGAAGTGTCATTTATCACCTGATTTTTTGTAAATAGTAAATATCCCCCGCTTACATGATAAAATTTATGGGTCCCAATCATTTTCGCTACATTCATTTTCAACAATAATAAAACTGATTAATTGTATACCAAAGTACATAATACTTTGTTAGGGAACCCTATTCTATAATAATCAGGTGATAAATGACACTTCCCTAAAAGGTTTTTAAAGATTTCTTAAGGACACTAGGCCAATTTTAATGTTCTTCTACTATTAGATGTATTTTGATAAGCTTTACAACTTTTATTAGAAGCCCAAGAGTGATTTAGTTAATAAAAAAAAATTTTACAGTAATCTACCAAAATAATATAAACACTTTTTAAAAATTTATATAAAGCTAAATAAGTAAACTATTAAGCTAAAAATTAAATCAGCAATTCTTTAAAACTATATCTTTTAAATAAAAAAAGTTTTGTAATTAACTGCATCACATACAATATATCAGAAAGCTAATTACACTGGCTTACATATTCTAATCAATCCAACTTAAACTTAATAATTACCAATACTATACAACAGTTCTTTTATTCAAATAAACTTGATATATCCAGAAATAAACTTCAGAAATTATATACTAAACTTATTAACTACCAGAGTTTCTTATTTAATAACCAAAACAACAATATAAATTTCTATTTTATTATACAAGAATTTATCTCTACAACACTAATACAAACAATTAAAAAATATACAGATTTTACTTAGATAGTCACTAATATTACTATTTAACTTCTTCTTCAATTATTACAAAATGTTTAAAATCAAATTTGAAAACCTTATTATATAAAATTATCAGAATAGAAATAACAAAACAATATTCTTATTCATTCTAATCAAAGACAAAACCAAAATTAACAAACTACTAATACCACCAATAGAACACATAATCACTACAAAATAACCAATACTTATAGCTACTTTTATAGCTTACCAAACTACCAACATACTAATAATATATGTCCACCTCTTGGAAAAGCTATTCAAAAAAATATCTCTATGGATATTTCAATAGATTAAATATAGTATATTAACTAATAATATACATTATCAAATCTGGAAGAGGTATAACTACTCTAGTAGATTAAGGTTGCAGGTAAAATAGTCTAAGACTCATTTTTGTAAAAATTTGTAAAATTTAGATTTGGCCAGAAAACCCTATGTGAATTTTTAATACAAATTATTGTCTGGTGCAAAAGGTAGATATACAATAGCTAAAAATTTATATTGTCTATATATAAAACTTTTTATATTTAAGCTATTTATTTATAATTTTTTTTTATTAAATAAAGTAGATTTTTAGCTATCTTTCAATATATTTTTATAATTCTTTTATAAATATTTTGTTGAGTAATAATTTTTTTAATAAATCTAATTATTTTTTAAAAAAAGTATTTTTTTAGAAAAAAATCAATTTTGTTTCTATAAGTTCAAATTAATTTAGTAGGTTGCTATAGATATACTAAATATATGATTAAAATTTTAGGTTAATTAAAATTAGTAGTTAATAAAATATAAAATTTTAAAGTTTATTATCAATTTACTATGTTGTACAAAGTTGTACAAAATTTATTATAAAATATAGTAAATTAGTTATTTAACTTTAAAATTTTATATTTTAACAACTACTGCTTCAATTAAGCCAATTTTTTAACTGTATATTCAGCATATGCATAGCAATGTACTTGCATAGTACAAACCTCTAAAGTTGCATATTTGTAGCAAAAATATTTTTTTTGAAAAAAATGCTTTTTTTTGAAAAAAAATTAAATTTATTAAAAAAATTATTACTCAATAAAATGATAATAAAAGTATTATAAAAAATATATTAAAAGATAGCTAAAAACCTACTTTATTTAATAAAAAAAAATTATAAATAAATAGCTTAAATATAA